GTCCTAACTGAGTGCAGTACTTCAGGGGGCCGGGGCCCCGAAAGGAGCAAATAATAGCAGTGGCCTGAAGAGGTGCTTCAGTTTCTCTCTGGCAGATGAGGGAGATGTGTGGGGGGGGGGGGGGGGGGTGAGGGGAGGGAGGGGAGGGAGGGGAGGGAGGAGTGGGGGTTGAAGGGGAAGGGGGGAGTATTTCAGAGAGATGCGGCCACGCTAGTATTTTTAGGGGTTGTTAAAAAATCTCAAAGGGTCAGCGTGCGTCCGGCGACTCACTTTATCGCTTATTGTGTGGCTTCAATTATCCGAGCTGCGCGTCCAAGTTGTGTGACGTGTTGTTAAAGAAATTAAGATGCCACCCGGGGCCTCGTTCCCAAATGCACCTTTTGTAATGTTTTTGATAACCCCCCCCCCCCCCCCCCGCTAACAATAGGGATTTAGTGAGGGTATTTTCACCGAAGGGCTCACGGTTATGCTACAGAATAATGCTTCAGGTTGTCGGGAGGGGGAAATAAACATGTTAAATTATTATTTTCAGTCAAGCAGCGCCTGGCACAGTGCTCTCGTCTGATTGGGCGGCTACAAAAGTACACAGCGGCAGTTGTCATCTCCACAGGAAGCAGTGTATTTGTTATTTACCTGGAATTAGGCTTCATTTTACCGCTGGATTGTTTTCTTCAGAAATGTGTTGCTGGATAAAAGTATACACATCCACCTGCCAAACGAGGGGACTTTTTGCTTAATATTTCTCCTATCAACCAAAATGACAAATAAAAAAGGCGTTTGGCGGATTCACAGAGTCCAAAACTGCCCGTCCAAACCTTGAGGGTGGTGTTCCGCTCTTTTCCGTCCCTGCGCTTCGACCGTTTACAGGTGGTTTCAGCGGCCGGTGGGTTGGACGGACGGACTAGTGGCGGGCTGGATGTTCAGGAACGGATTGATGCACGGCCACCGAGAAGCGACAGATGGATCCGCAGACGAGCTGCCAGACGTCAGCATCTTCTGTTGACCATGTGATTGGTCAATACATTGCTCCTTCTGAAACATTATCTACCACTATCGGGTTGTCCCGAGCACTGTGTGGAGGAACAAAACAAAAAAAGGGCCACACAACGTAATTATCCAATGCACTAATGAAGCAACAGCTTATGGCCCACAGCTTCTCACACGGCCTGTCTTTTTAGTTTTTTTTTTTTTTTTTTGCTGGCGTCTTGCTAAAGAAATAAAAAATAAAATGATTCACTCCTATTCAGCCGAATCCCTCCTTATGTTCCAAACAGCAACAGCAATATTTCCAATTCAGTCGAGCTTCTACACACACAGCGGTGCACAGCTTCACTTACACTCTCCTTTTCCCTCCATCGCACTATTTTGTGTGTGTCCGTGTGTGTGTGCGTGTGTTTGTGTGTGATTTCACTCCTGTCAGTCCACTTAAGGGCCTTTGGTTTCAGAGGAGGCCATTGTATTTCCTCCGTCACCTAGCAACCATCACCAAGGCCGGCACTCCATTGTTGACGAGGTTGAGCACCTGAATTGCCTGCTGCCTGTTTCTACTTTTCAAAATTGTACTGTAATTTCACAAAGTGGTGTTTCAGCATTAGAGACGGAGAGAGACGGCCGCGCTCCAAATTGGAGGGCTATGAAAATTTGGGGCGAAGCTTCATTTGGTGGTTTCCCATCAGGAGCTCCGTGCATTTGCAAAAGAAACACTGAACAGCGGAGCGGTGGAGACGTTTCGGAGCATAATGTGCATTCAGCAAAGTGAAAAGTGAGCGATTCATACAGCGTAGCGCATTCCCTCTATGCTGTGTGTGTAGGAGTGTGTGTGTACGCAAGTGAAATGAACAGGAACTGAAACAGAAATAAAAAGATTTTTTGTGAGTCGGCTTCATAGTTTGTTGAAATGCACTTTAAAGGAAAAGCTAATAGGGATAAAACAAAAAAAAAGACAGGCAGCCAAAGAGAGAAGAGAGAAAAAGAGAGAAAGGAGAGAGGTGGAGATGAAGAGAGAGAGAGAGAAAATGATAAAATGGGAAAAATATGAAGAGAGCGACATGTAGTGGGCGGGACCTGAGGGTTGAAGAGGTTTGTGGGCTAGATCTTTCCCAGTGACGTCACTTTTACACAGTTTCCTTGAATAGCACCTGTGTGCACGGGGGCTGTCTGTCCATCAGTTCTGAGTAAAAACATAACCCGTGGCAGCAAAAACACATCTATCAGTGTTCTGCACTGGCCGACGCAGACAGACTGTCTTTAGCCGCTGCCTGTTAGAGATTGGTCCCTTCTAGCGTCTTTTCTTTCAGCAGATATTATCATTTTTTTCCTTTAGTTTTTTCTTTTCTTTATTAAGACTCTGCTTTCTTTCTGTGCAGTTAAAATAGCTTTTTTTCTTGCGCGCCTCCAATCAACGCCCTCGTGGATGACCCCATGTGCCCGATTCAGAAATGGTAAGTGGCAACAATTTTACCTTCAGATTAATCTTGTTTCTTTCATGCTGAGTTATATATTGTATTGTTTTGTCTGAGGATTTCTGCATCGCCCTTTTGTCAAGATGACTGCAGAGATTTTGCTCTGCGGATCCAAAGACGTCGATTTCTTCTTTCAGATATAATTGCTGAATGTCTGTCAGTGTCACCTTTTTCTCTGATTGATTTTCAGTTGTACACCCGGTGCATTGCGACGCCGCGTCCCTGCATTTTAGCCTCAGACTACACGTCGAAATGTCTCAATCGTCTCCAAGTATTTATGACACACACATTTGTATTTAAAAACTCAACACAAACCAGCGGTCATCCAACAACACGCACACCTTAGACCAGCACACACACCGCCCTGGCTGTGTTGTAGTAATGTGTGCACACAAACATGCAGATCAGGTTCCAATATGTCTTTGCGGTACACAAACACACACAGCTGCCTGTAGTGTGTGGAGAGATGACAACACTGTAAATACTTGTCATCTTCTGCACTCATGGTTAGGATTTATAATCAGTAGGAATCAGTTTAACAATGCAAAGAAATTCTTCAAAAATCTGCACGTAAATGCAGAGTTGTGAATGTGGCGTTTTGTTCAGCGAGCCACACGACAGATTGAAGAATATATGTATTTTTATTCCTTTATTCTGTTACAAGAATGTGTATGAAGCCAGTGGACGGACTGACGGCAGCGACTTCATCTACGCTGAGTATGCTGTGTGTAATTAATGAAACACGTGGTCATTTGGGTATTTAACATGTTGGTATATCTACATATGCACTTTAACATGCATTCACTATTTGAATGCGTCCATCATCTGTGTCCCACTGAAGCATTAACAAAATGGCAAAGTGCCAGTGAGGAACCGACTGTGTGTCCAAAACACTATTAATATTACAGTATTGATCCCCATTGACCGTGGACTTCACCTGGAAGCCGTGGGCGCGTTGGACAATGTGGGATTGAATATCTTTAGGATAAAGACAACCACTTGGCTGAATGAGTGTAGCAGAGCTTTAGAATTCTGAAGTGGAAAGCCTATTAACGCGCTCGCAGCGTCCTTTCTCTTCACCGTCCCACTACTCGTCGCTGACTGACAGCTGAGTCAAACTGACATCGAACTGATTAACACTGACGCTCATAAAAACACAGCACAGGGACCTGAACCACAGCCTGCGAGCAGGAGTTTCCCCTCCGTCTCGGATCCCGCTGATGACCCTGAGCTCCGAGCCTCGTCCTTCCTCCAGAACGCCCCGAACCCTCCGCTGGTTCACACAGAGCTGTTGGTTCCCCTCTTCAAGGTAGAGGAACTACATGTTTTGTGCGTGGTTTGGACGGTGCAGCACACTGCAAATATATGTATATATTTATGTAGGAGTTATTGTTTATGGATACAATGCTCAGGCAAAGGGGGGGGGGCATTCAACAGGATATTAAGATGCAAGATTCTGAATATTCTTGTGTTTGAACGTGCGAAATGATGAAGCACAATGAGGCAGTTCCCATACAGACGAGTGCAGGGATCGAAGCAGTGCAGCATCTGCAAGTGTTCCATCTTTCCAATGTGGCTTTGAGCACTTTTAACAGACGCTCCCGTGACAGTTTGCCCGACGACTCGTCTAATCTCGGCGAGCACAAGGAGAAGGCCGCTCGGCACTGCCAGTTCCTCCGCGGCGGAAAGGCCTCGGCCTTCGACCGAGGCGTTGGCGGGTGCGAAGCGAAGTCGGGCTTGAAGGAGAGCTGCGGAGGTTTTTGTCCGCCGCTCCTCCAGCCCTCCCTCCGCCCCACGGGCTCGTGCTTCCGCTCGAGGAGACCACCTTGAGTAAGACACGTAGCCTGGCAACGGAGCTGGAGAGAATGTGTAGGGAGAGCTTTACAATAGAGAGAAGGAGTACCATGCGTTTCTTTGAGAAGGTTCATGCGTATCCTTCCGTCCTCCAGGTAATTATCAAAATAGTCCATTCGAGGTCGACTTTTCACAAGTTTAGATTTAAAATAATGAATTTTAGAACGATTTTGCGCCGGTATTTGGGAGGGAAAATACTGTCTGGATGAGGGAGTCCATGGCAGCATGGAAGACTAGTGATTTTGTTGTTTTGTTGTTAAACCGACAACAAGTCATTGTCTCCCGCGCTGCTTTGAGACAGAAGCTGGAACTCACGACATGTCTGCGAATTTTCTCTCAAATCGTGATGCCGAGCACCTTCAGATGTCATTCTGATATTAGAGTAATTATCGGCCTCGAGTCAATACATCCATCTATCTGAGTTGATCTCATCCATCTGATGTTATGACTCCAAACTGTTTGACAGCCTACTTCAGAATATTGAACCACAAATGATGGAAAACACAATTGACCCAAAGGTCAGAGGTAACTTTGATAGCGACCTCCACTTCAATAAGTAACTCTCATCAGATTGCGCTATAATATCAGATTGTGCCCCTTTGGCTTTTCACAAATGAATTTCTCTACTCAGATAGAAAATCAAATATTTACTTGCACAAGTCGAAGCAAATAATACGTGAAAAGGATCATTTTCAAACCGCTTTAATGGCGACATGTATGTAAAATGGCTTAAAGACAGAGAAGAGAGCGACACATTCACTGGGGGGCGGGCAGGGCCTTGGTCCGGTCCATCAGCTGCTGGAAGATCTTCATCATAGTGTCGGCCAGAGGCTTCACCTGCGCCTGGAAGTTGTCGGCCAGAGGCTTCACCTGAGTCTGGAAGTTTTCCATCACGGGCCTGATCTGCTCCTCCATGTCGCTGACGAAGGGCTTGACCTGCTCCTGCAGCTTGGCGGCCTCGGCCTGGACCTTGTCCACCAGAGGCTGAATCTGGGACCTGCTGTCCTCCATGTAAGTCCTGTGAGGGGAGGGTGGGGGTTGGGGGGCATTATTCTGTTAATCAACGCTGCCTTGTTTCCTGACGTTTTCATTTGAATAAAGAAAAATGAACGAAAAATGTCTGGAAATGTGTCAGGAGTCGTGACTGTTCTGGTTTTAGGTGGCGATATTTTGAGTTCATGTAAAAAGAAACACATTTATTATCCAAAGAGGTGATGAGCCTTTAGCCTCATGTTTTACATATATTTTACCATAATAATAGAGTATTTTATTAGCACAATATAGCCAGGCGGTGTCAGGCGTTCTCAATTAATAAAACTAAATGTTAAAATGAAAACAGATTTACCTAAATATAAAAAATATAAAATATAAAACGTTTGTAACTTCTGTTTGACATTTGGCCATATTATTTTAAGAGCAATTAAACTATACAGTTAATACTGTAATTTACATCCTAAGTCTATGCTTGAAGCATTTCCATGTCCTCCAACATGTCGCTCACATCCTCGTCACAGTCACCGCATCCCGGCAGAAGGTGGAGCGGCATCACTTTGAGAAACACCGACTGAGAATTTAACAGCCCAGCTGACACTTACTGGGCAGTGTTGGACATCTCCAGAGTCTTGATCTTCTCCACCACTTCCTGGGTTGCGTTGGAGAGGCCTGCCGACATGTCGTTGATGAGCTTGGTGATCTTGTCCAACTCGGACTGCGCGTCGCGCCTCACCAGTGATCCGGCCTGCGTGCCTGCGAACACACATTCACTCCTCTTTAGCCACTGAATTTAACTCAAAGGCCCTCTGACCTTTGGTGACTACGGCCTGCGTCTCACCATGGGCAACGGCCAGCACGAGGACCAGAGCGGCAATGTTGGAGAAGTTCATGGCTGCAGAGGAGCAAAAGCAAACCGGGGGTGAAAGGTTGAAGGGTTGTTGGGATGAGAACGAAAGCTGCAGAAAAGACAATAACAAGGTAGTCAAACATATGATCGATTCACACAGAGGGTCAGAATCACGAAGGGAACCAGCGACCAGCAGGAGACTTACCTTAAATCCTGGGGTTCTCTGAGCTAACTGTGCCTTCCGTCGGGGAGAACGAGGCTTTTATTGCCGCACGGGATGAGTTAATCACAACTAATCACGATGTCATCATCTCAAACAAAAAGAGGTGCAGATAAGTCCATTCTGTGAATTGGGTGAACCTTGATGCTTTATAGCTGCCACACGGAAACAACAAAGTCCAAACTGTGAGTGGAGGTTTCTTCCCTTTATTTCTAAGTACAATTATTTACTTCCATTTGTTTGATTCTTCCACTTTTACTTCATTAATAGATGCGATTCTCCACAACTGCACATATCAACACGGTCAGTTACCGATATATAAATGACATATCCAAAAATATATCCTATTAAAAACTATACTGTTGTGTGACTATGTGTGTGAGTTATTATCTTATCTTCTACCTTCTCAACAAATGAGTGTATTTTGAGCCCTGAGCTTATTTTTCTGTGCGCCCTGTTTGTGTATTTTATAATGATGGTACATCTGTTAAACAGAGGGTCAGAGGAGGGGACAGAGGTACTCACACTTCATCCAATCAGCAACGCTGAACTGTATGTAAAGAATCTACAGATAACCGCATCACAAAGGACACGGAGAGATACCGCGGTGCCCGCGTGCGTCACCACACACTGATACGACAATTAATCAAATAATTGGTTGACATGTGTACTTCATTTGCAATTCTTTGAGTGTACAAAACAGGTTGTGTTCTGTTTTTGTCCTTTGTGTTATCACACCGTGTGCCTGCCATGTCACAGTGGAAACCAGGTCACCCATTTGTTTTTCTTCCCCTCGACAGAACATTACAGTCCCGGTTTGACAACGGGATTCGTGAGACTTTCTTGGTCTTCTCAGAATCAGACTTCACAGGAACATTGCGTTGATTGTGTTAAGTTTTTTTTCCTCTGCTGTGCTTTGTTTGACATCTAATTTGCATTAATGCAACCATTCAGAATGAATATTTCTGACACCAAACGTGTTGCCTACGTTTGTTGTTGGATTATCAGCAACTAATGTGGCAAACTATAATTTCTAACAACTGTTATGCTTTCCCTTCATTCATATATCGATCCATGTTTTTCATTTAATAGTAGTTTTGGATTGCCATGGCAACAAAGCAAGCCAAGCAGCAAACTGCTGCTTTTCACCTAAAACCTCCAAGGCTTGCTTTGGCAAAGTTTACAGTTAAAGTAGCTTTAACATTGGCCACTGGACTGCATCTCTCAGATGTAGTAGAATCTGTTTAAAGTGAGGTGAAATATTTAACAAAAAAAACCAAGGGATCCACTGTTATCAACCATTCCATGGGGTTTTTCAAGAAAAATCAAGCCATTTTTGTTGCAGGGAGTATTACATATGTGTTATTTGCATACATTTACAAAATGCATATTCCTGAAGCAAAGTAAGTAAGTTGAATTCTATGAATCTGGTGTGACAGGCCAGGGGAGACTCCTGTCAATATTGTATTGTGACCACTTTACAGTCCAGAGACCTGTGATCTGAGGATGTGTCACTCTCCCAGATATACTGACAAAGATGGGCTTTCCTAGCAATTAATGAAAAATGCCATTCTTGCGCAAATCTCTGAATGTCAAAAGTCCTCCATGTATAATATCAAAAGATGGAATTTTCTTCTACGGCCTGGTATCTTAACGTGGTATTTCAGGGGCATTTTCAATCATGTTTGAGAATATTTCAAGCGGTCAAAAATGTTTTGATCTCGCATCAGCGGCTTAGTCCATAACAGAATCTTCTGACTGAAACAACATGCTTGTCTTCTACTGCGTACATCCAGCACACGCTCAGCACATGTTTTAAGATGGGGCAATTTTTTTTGCAATCTCCATTGCATTATGATCCAACACACCACCAGATGGGGGTCAAATGACATGTCCCCCCCTGAGTGTCCACAACATGCATTAGTCTGTGTGGGTAAACAACAACTGGTGGAGGATGTACCCAGATAAATCATTTAAATAATAAGAGGCTGATAATACCACTGTAAAAATATTCTGTTGCACGTATACAGTGCGATGTTAGTAGATGATGACGTACCAGTAATCGGGAGAATATAATTAAATGAATTACATTTCAAATCAATGCAGAGACATGTCCAGACATACTGTTAGACATCATAATAATTTGATAATCTGATCATATTTCACTATTTTAGTTGGTTGAGGTCAAACTAGTATTTAACTATTTACTTAGGACTATATTAACTAATGATTATTTCTACCATTGTTTAAATGACGTCTGAATAATGCGGCATCCATTCGCGTTGCAGCATTTAACTACAATTTTTAGGGATATGTTCGTTGGTATGCGTGTATGTCCTTTCCATGTCTGAGGAGGCGGAAAACTCTTAATTTACATTAAAAAAAGTAAGTAGGTTAATGTCCATGTTTTTCACAATAGTTCACATTACCCAAGCCTGGCCAGTAGATGGCGGCAATGTAAAGAATGACTAGTTCGCCAAGTGCCGATAAACGTCGAAGAAGAAACCTCCCGACAACATCCTGTCTGCATACCTGCGTTGCGTTGTTCCGCCGCGCTCTCACACCACACATACAGGCATCATGGCGGACGTGTTGGATCTTCATGAAGCGGGAGGCGAGGACTTTCCTATGGATGAGGATGGTGATGGTAATACTAATATATACACCAACAGGTGGCAAGTGGTCCACGGCGCCGGCGTCCAAACGACGTGTAGATCTCGAGTTCTACTTTAAAATAGCCGTGGATGTAAATGCTACCAACGCTAACTGCGTGCTAGCAGGCCTGATACATGCTAACAAGCTAACATTACGCTAACAACGCACCGGTTCACAGCTCTTCATGTAAGATAAGAAGTTGTTATAAACTCTTTAGGTCCCTTTTTAAAATAGATATTGTAATGTTTTTTTCCTGCGGTGCAGGCTTGTTTTACATACTTGCCATTGTTAAAACTCGGAGCCCACGTAGCGTGTTGTTAGCTGCCGTTAGCACGCTAGTTCAGTCTTTTCTATAACGTAAGCTAATGGCTTAAGTGGCGTCCAGATGCACTAATAACATAGTTCAATACCACTATGTGTTACCCTAGTAAAGGGTCATCCAGAGTTAAGTCTCATAAAATGAACAACGTGATATTGTTGTTAACACAGTTGGTGTGCAAAGATTTTAATTTATTCAACTGTTCATCCCCAGAGAGCATCCACAAGTTAAAGGAGAAAGCCAAGAAGAGGAAAGGACGAGGCTTCGGCTCAGGTGAGTTACCACCGTTTTGGATATGTTCATGTAATCTCTTACTGCAGTGTTTTTGATAAAGATTGTTTTGCTAGTCAGCAGTGTAAAGTATTTGTCTGTCTCGCTGCTTGCAGAGGAGGGAGCAAGATCCAGAATCAAGGAGGACTATGATACTGTGGAGCAGGACGGGGATGAGCCAGGCCCTCAGAGATGTAAGTATTGCAGTTTATATTCATATGTAAATGAAAAACGGGCAGTTTGAATATTTTTTTTATTCTCAAAGTGTGCAGCTTCAAATTTAATCCCAACTCGTAGAATACTTTATATTGGTTAGACACACTTATTGGTACTTTTTGCATGCAATGAGAGTTTTAGTGGTCGCACCTCTACTTATCAGTAGTTTGTTAAAAGAGCTGTTTGCTCTATTGTTTGAGCCTGACGCCTTTGCTCGTCTTTGTCCCGTTGCAGCCGTGGAGGGCTGGATCCTGTTTGTGACAGGTGTACACGAGGAAGCCACTGAGGAAGACATCCATGACAAGTTTTCAGAGTTTGGGGAAATTAAGAACCTGCATCTCAACCTCGACCGCAGAACGGGCTACCTCAAGGTGAGAACGATATCCATCAAGCTCACGGTTCACATTGAGTCGATGCACACCGGTTACTGTTAATTGTATGTTTTTAATTGACACTGGCTAAAGGCCACTTCTGTGCAGTAACGGCCACGTATGTTATTTTTACCTGATTGATATAACTGGTTATTTGTAGTGCACTGAACTGATGGACGGATGTTGAACCGTGTGAGGTTTTTAAATGACTTTGTTTTAATAGAGGCTTTTTTGGGAATAAATATGATGGTAAATCTAAGCTGATTTAATAGAAAATCTTCAGAGCCATCAGTGGTGACTCTTCTCCTGTTCTGAGTACGCTATGTTCACACATTTACCTATTGTCTTTTGGTTGTTCAATGTACAACCACTCTTCAACTTTCGTCAAATCCACAAGGTGGCAGCATTGTTTTAAATGTCAAATCCCGACCAAAATATTTGCCTGTGAAACGTCAGTGGATGCCCATCACAAGGTGTTTCACCATCTAAATGCTTAGGAGACTTACATTTATAAAAGTTACTACGCTATAATGCCATGTTTTTAAATTGCTTCCCCAGTTATCCTACGCTTGTCTCAGCAGCATAATATTAATCCGCCCCAAGAGTTATGCTGTATTGTACACTTGAATTGTGAAATGCTACCATATTCCACAGCAGTGATGCCATAAATAACTCACACGCTGTCCTCCCAACTGCTTCTAGGGATATGCTCTGGTGGAGTATGAGACCTACAAAGAAGCCCAGGCAGCCATGGAGGGGCTCAATGCTCAGGACATGATGGGTCAGCCTATCAGTGTTGACTGGGGATTTGTCAGAGGGCCCCCCAAGAACAAGAGAAGGTGAGAGTGGTGTTGGTCTGTCTTTTACAGTTATGTGTACATAACTATTAAAGCTCTCCAGATACAAGTGATGTGTGATCTAAATGATTTATATATTTAAAACATGTGTATAGTAGAACACACCACTTATAATTGTCCAATAACAGCGCTTTGTCTTTTCACAGGACTGGTGGTCGGAGACGCAGCAGGAGCCCGGACAGGAGGCGGCGTTGAGAACAGCAGTTGTCATTGGCTTGAGGGAGTGTCTATCATTATGTCGCGCAACTCGTAATCTCATAAATCTCATTATTGAGTTGTATTCCATTTAGTTGTGCAATTTAAAATATTGTGATACAAAATTACTCTTGAAAGATAAATAACAAGAATCAATTGGCCTAACAGCAGCATTTTTTCCTTGTGTTGTAAATTGTTTATTCTGTTTAAAATGCAACAGAAGGATATCCATTCAGCTCGGCCAATGAAACTGATTTACTTTTAACTCAAACTTGTACGTTGTGCATGCTTGTGGTTCCCTAAAAATGTTTCGGTTTTCTCAATCTTACTTGTATTTTTGTTTTTATTTTATACTTGGGGAAAATTAAACTTTTTAAAAGGTACTGGTGTGCACTGTTGTTTTATTTAGCCCTGCTGATGACGTAGTTTGACTCATACGCAAAGACCTCAGGCAGGCGATGGTGCCGCCCCAGCTATTCTATCAACTCCAAAGCACCTGTCACTCCGGGCGCCGAGTGGCACACTCATAGGCTACTTGGGACAAAACCTCTTGCCCTTTATTTTCCTGCGGCCAATCGGCAGGCGCACGCATTGCACTCTTCCCGTCTCATTTGGTGTTTACTCTTATTAGGAACATCCGTCAAAGAACACGGGGAACGTCCATTGGTTCTTAAAACTGTCGTTGAAATCAAACCTCTCTGATTGGATGGATTGTCACTTGGGGGCGGGCTCAACGCATCGCTTGACGTTGTTGTTGTAAGTGGTGTAGAAATTACTTTGTCGGGTGACGGTCCGGTTTGGGGGTTTTACGCGTAGTTCCACTAATGAAGACGCAAAAAAGTTAGGAGTTGATACTTGCCGAAACGTGAATGGTATTCACGAGTTGATACTCGCCGGGAAACTAAAGGGGACGATGACAAAAACATCCGCGAGGCCGTTGAAGGTAAGCTGTGGAGCGATATTCTGGCTACTAGCGTCAACGTTAGCTACCGTTAGCTGGTGATTAGCCAGGCTTGTAGTAGCCACTTGCTAGCCAAATGTTACGCTTCGCTCCCGTGAAAGAAATAAGCACTTCTCTTCAATTGAGAATTCATGCGCGCGTTCGGCGGCTCGTAAAATGGACATTTAACCCGACTAACACGCGACATTAAAGTTAAACACTGAGTGAATCGTGCACGAAACCCCGTGCGTTTGAACGCCTCGAAAATGCGTTTATGTAAGCATGTGTATTGTTGATATTTTTGTGTCAAAGGATAGTCGTATCTCTAAGTAGCTGGCTCACAGTCCACGTTTAGGACAATGCATCCCCAGCAGCACCGAAAAGCATCGTTCACATACATGTACATAGCGAGCAGGTTGACGAGCTGAAGTGGTTGCTGAACATAAACGTTAGCCTCTTTTTTTTGTAAGCTGTCATTTTACGTTGCAGCTGTATTCAGGCTGAGCATTAAAGTTGTCCTGAACAGGAGGTCAGCTCTACATATTCATGCTGGTATATCAGTGCAGCCTGAAGCATTCACTTAAATAGCTTTTTAAATTATATATATTTGTTTAGCTAGCTCTGGTAGCCGCCGGTCACGATCCGAGGTTTCACTCACGACGTGACATCTACTCAAAGCACCAGAACCGGTCCTTTCCAACTTATAAGACTAGTCCACTCGGTCCTGTTCGCTTTGCTCGTTTTCCAAACCACGACTTGGGCTGTTCTGCTTCATCTCCGCCCCCCGCCATGATGAAAAAGGGTTGCGTTACACTTTGCCTTAAATTATTCAGGTCTTGCATGTGTGGGCTCTTTTGTTTGCTGGGACACCAGGAACACACAGTCGACATGGAAAAAAACCAAACAACCGGAAAAAAGTTGGACAGGGGTAGAAGCTCCTTTTTTATGTTAATGCAAAAAAAATGAAATGGAAAAAGGCCACATCCCGATGGAGATGACTGCCTTCATCTGTGAGGAGGAAACTTGATTTAAAGGAGCAAGGTGCTGTGTCGGGAGAATGAAATGCATCCAGCCCCTCCAACTTGAACTCATTCCTTTCAATGGCTGTGCAGAAGGAATCAGACACACACACACACACACACACACACACACACACCCTGCCTGTCACTTGCAAAGAGGGCTGTTGATCAGCTGCAGTGATGAAAGCCTCCACGATCGTCCAACTCGCTGCTGGTAAACACGACCTGGAACATGGCGTGGTGGTGTGCAATAACAACACATGCAGGCACGAGTTGTTGTTGTTGTTGGCGTTGTGAGCTGTGTACGCTTCTGGGCTCCACCGGGCACTGGGGGTAGAGGATGCGAAAGGGCTTCGTTCCCACGATGCACCGTCACCCTGCGGAGGTGTGTGAGCTGGCCTTCTTTATGCGAGTCCTCTGCACTTCAAGGATCACGTTGATGCTCACAGCACCACGGGGACCGACCGCACCCCGGGCCTGTGTTTTAAACAGGGTTTAGCATCAGTTCCAAATAGATTCCAAATCTTGAGCGCCTAAAAGGAAAAATCCAAGGGTTCAAATAATTTATTTTTTTTTGGCACTCGGCGCTGCAAAAGAAAGAAGCATTTATCTACTTTGCAAGTAATGCGAGGGGAAGCGTTCTGTGAATGCTTGAATGGCTCCATCGGTCAGTGCACAAAACAGCCGGTGGATAAATCCATCCACGACCTGCAGCCAGCATCGCTTCACACAGCCACATCTTTAAACCCCTTTGTTGCACTTGGGTTGTCTTTTTATTTTTTAAAGGAAGATACATTTGAATCGTGTCGATCCAAAGGAAAGGGTGTGACGAGATCTCCGACACTATTCCAAGCGGTCAGCATTTCACGTCACCCTACAAGCAACACGGGACAAGATGGGAAGGAGAGAGTGGTCGACTGTTTTCACTGCTATCTTGAAGTTGCTTGACATGGTGGCAAGGCGTTATTGGCTCACCGGTTCGATGTGACTCGTGGCAAAGTTGAATGCAGGGGGGAGCAGCAAGGACCTACTCTGAGGTTTCGTGTTACCATCTTAGCTCGCTCTGTCCCATCCTACAAACCTTTTGACATACATGGATTTGCTTAACTCTGAATGTGCTGCCCTGGTGTGTCTGTATATACCGTTTCACGGGTGGCATTACAATTTAAACAGGACCCCCGCCACCCCTAACAGCTGCTCGCCAAGCGCGTATGTGCGCCAGAGATTCAGTGTCGGGTTTTGCGAGCACGGGCCCATCCGTGCGTGGAGGTATTCCCGCGGGATCCCTCCGACGGGCCCGATTAATAAGTAAGCGGACGCGTGCTTCTCGGGGTCAGTGGGACAGACGGGTGATCTTGTCAGCTGACTGCGTTCCACTCACTTTTTAGCGGCGGTGGGCGCCCTCTTGGCCGGCTACCACCTCGCAGTCGAGCCGAGGGGCGGTTTTGGAAAAGACCACACGGAAGGGAAAACCACCTTCGTCCCGGCGGCGCCGCAGGGGATCAATAGGTGGCTTGTCTCCGTGCCCAGACAGCGACTCATAAAACTCTTTTGGAGCCCAACCCTCCCCGGCATGGCTGGTTGCCTGCCAGTCTTCGGACACAGCAGCCAGTGCCCCGGGGGGGGGGGGGGCACCTACCTCTTCAACAGCATGGCGGGTATCGCGCGCCCATGCTGAATGCTTCGGGATTAAATGTAGGCAGGATAGTTCGCACAGTTCGTTATTACGAAGTGTCAGTAGGGCGGAACAGAAAGATGTGGCCTTATGGAGCCGAGCCGAGCAGCCGTAATCCCACGCAGCCCGTGCCACGGCCCCAAGAGATGCTGCAGTAACGCGAGCTCGCTGTATCAGTTACTCTTCTTCACCCTTTTTCCTCCTCTACATGCAGATTATTCTGTTTTTGATCCGTCCTATGGGAAATTCAGGGCATATTGTATACAGCTGTTTTGAATACGTCGATATTTCATCTGAAAGGGGGGGGGCTCACAATGGACAAAGCGCTGCAAAGGTTGCTTGTTTCACGCTTCGTGGCAGCAATCAGTATGTCTCACTGTCTCTTGTGTTGGTCTCCTCCCCGGCTGCGACTGCTGTTGCCGTTTGTCAGCTCTGCTGGATCCTGTCACACGATATGAAGACGGTGTCTCTTCGGTTCATAAAATCTGATATTTTATCTCTTTGCTTCTGTGTTGCTTTGGTCCGTGGTGGAGGAAACATTCAAATCCAAAGCACCTTCAATGTTCCTCTTTCTTTTAGTAATGGCTTTAGTCGCTGTCTGCATAAACCTCTCCTATAGCTGACAAACAAATTGAATCCTACTTAATATGACCGGACTTTGTGATCGTTATTTCAGTAGGTATTTTATTCCAGTCATGAGACTATAATCTGTTATCCGGTGGTGGATTTGCAAACAAATCGAGGCTCCACAGAGGGTGGAAGAGGAGGAGGAGGGGTGGGGTTGGACTGTTTTTTACTGCTACCGGTCAGTGTCTGGTGATCAAGTCGCCAGCCATTGCCTCAGTGTGTCAACATTTGTTCACTGGGTAATGTTTATGTCAAAGCATTAGGCTCGTTGTTTCCTGTGCTGACTGGAAGCAATCAGCCTCTCCCGCCCGCCCCGGCCCCCGTTGATCCAGGACAGCGGGAGTAATCCCACACGCAGCCCTGATGAGGAGCCTGTAACCCGCGATGACATCACTCGGGGAGTGACGTCGCCGAGTCGCCCCGCTGCGTACTGGGCCCGGCCTGCAGCACGTGGGGATTCACATGAGGATTAGTGCCGCCCGCCTGCAGAGGCGGGTGCCTGTTTTGGCCACTGGCTAAAGATCCCGCTCGGCTTGGTTGGCTTCACATTCAGGCTGACTTAGCAGGGGGAGATGTTGAACGTTTGAACCGGCATCGAGATGCAAGCCGTTGCTCCATTTCGTGTCCAATGTTGAGGCTTTTTTCCAGGCCGCTGTCTCTCTTCCAGGCGTCTTTTGTTTTGCAGGGGTGGAAACTTTTTTTTTCTTTTTAAATTCCAAAACGGCACAGTTCCAGGAAATGTCGGTTGTTCCTCAAGGGTTAATGTGCAAATTAAAGCACTGGTTGTCCCCCATCTAAAGGTTAATCCTGTAACGATGAGCTCATTGTTTGAACACAAAGCAAAGAGGATACCGCCAACCTTCAGACGTTATTTGCCACTGTTTATTTAAATATAGGAGTATACCTATGAATATATGGTTCCTCCACAACCGATGTTGTATAGCCTGTTTTTAATACAGCTGGTCTGCCCAACATTGCCAAACTGCTGGGATTCACTTAAAAAAGGTTTGGGTTTTTGATATAATATCTATAAATCCATCTTGTCTGGCTCCATGTATTTACTTTCCGTCCTGTAGGCCAGAGAGAGGCGGCTGTTGGCTGTGGGCTCGGTTTAGGCGTCTG